AAACGTTTGAAGCCACAAAAATTCTTGAATACTTTATGTTATACAAAGGCTTTATAGGTGGCTGACTGCGGTTCTAGATGAAAACTTGTGATCTTCTCATATGTTATTATTAGGTATACTATGAAATGACAACTCCTGCATGGATTGGTAGCAGAATCGTATGACTCATCTCGCACGTAGAAGAACATTTAATTGAGTGATACTTACTAAATCTGCCATGTTCACAACTGATTTAGCATAGCTGTTTGTATGGCCGACTGATAAGCGGTGCTTTTTACACTGCAAAACAAACACAAGTTACATATACAGACTTTGGAAAAATAAGCTCCATTTCCAAAAAAGAACAAAGTAAAAAGCAAATACATCAACAGCAAAACCCTTGTGCAAGGTTTGGTCTCCTGTGCTGAATGTAATGTTAACAAGCAACAGTAGAAAATTGCTTGGAAACGTACATCACTGATGTACTTTACAACAGCTGTTGTGAGGATCTATTAATTCCTGTTTGGAAAGTCCTCTAAGATCTTTACTGAAAAATGCTATAGGAACAGGAATATATTGCTACTCTCTTCATTATCTTTATTACTTGCAATTTTTCCAAATGCCAGTAAAGAAATTATCAATACAACTTCCATACCTGAGACTTCTTTAGGGGTATTAACCCAAAAGTGTCTGCATCTATGTTTTAATCTATCGGATTTCCTTTTTTTTTTTTTCAGTTCTCTCTCTTAACCTGTCTGAATTCCTTCATGTACAATTTCACATTCCATAATGCCACTGTAATGGGTTCAAAGCACTTTAGCAATCAAACTGCAATGGCACCTTTACTGAAATCTGTAATACAGTGCTATAAACACAACACTGAAGATAGCTCTCCAGGTACTCTTATTTGTAGAAAAAAACACTTATAAATGAGCACCAAAGGTAGGAAAGTCAGAAGTATCTTAGAAGAAATTAGGACAAAAAGGCCAAGACTTTCAGAAATGTTTAACCATCCTGTGCCAAATGACACTTGATTTTGGAGTGAAAATTTTCCATGTTTTTCAGAAGTTAGGATCTTTTAGTAGGCAAGAAGAAGTCCCCATCAGCTAGGGGGTGGGAAAGGCATGCTCTCAGGCAGGAATGGGGGAAAAACCACCAAAAATGAGGAAATTACACTTACTAAAAAAGAAAGACGGGACTGTGAAGCTAAAAATGGTAGAAAGGATGAAATGAAAAAGCCACAAAAATGGAAAATGAAGTACAGCAATGAAGTATACTGCTCAAGTCTCTATTTGCAACTAAAATCTCAAACTCTAGGCCTCCAGCTGCTCTAAGCATCCTACAGAAATGTTTTCAGTATACTAATTTATAAGCCTATTTCAATGTTTGGATTTTAAAAGCTTTATTCCCTAACTGGAAGCAATGGTTGGATGAGCAGCTGAGAGGAGAGGGCAGACAGGAGGGCACCACAGCCTTCACAGCAGTGAGTGGCCCAGAGGGGTCGGCACAACGCAGCTGGCTCTGTGGACCAGAAGAAGATGCACGAGGTTCATTGTTCCCTCTGGGACTGCCTGTGGAGGATGAAGAGTGAAAACATCTCTGACTCTGTAGGGCATCAGCTCCACGCTGAGTGCACCCAGACTGCCGCATACGCTGCATGCACAGAGAGTAATCCAAATACACATGCGTGCCAGCCCAGGCTGTGGGGCAAGGGACAAGCCCAGAGCATACAACCCTTCCTTCTCACAGAAGGAAATTATTCCGTTTCTCCAGCCACAGACATTCTCTGGCATTTCTTTCAGAGAATAAACTCCTAAGTAGCCTCACAATAGCTATAACGAACCAAAATTAGGAAGCACTGCCCTTGGGAGGAATCAGCCCAGACAGATGAGGTCCCAGTGGGAAAGCTGTGACTTAAGGCCTTCAACCTCAAACACAATGACACCAGTTTAGTGAATTCTGTATTCAGTATTGTCCATTTTAATCCAAGAATTTACTGCTACGCTCACCAAACTGAGTTGATGTAGGAGTACACTGGTATCACTAAAATCGTCAAAGGACAGCAGCACATTCCTTTTATGCTCTGATGTCAATTTTTGTCAATTTGGGTACTTCTTCAAAGAAGGGGCACATTAGAGAAAGGGTACATGAAATGTATAGATACACTCATTTCAAAGCCATAGAGGATGATAAAGTCCCCTATCGTCACCAGTCTGAGGAGCACCACTGGTCTCTGAACTTTATTCAGTTACTTCAGGACTGAATAATAAAATCATAGAATGGTTTGGGTGGGAGGGGACCTTCAAGTTAATGGAGTTCCACCCCCCCGGCCACGGGCAGGGACACCTCCCACTAGACCAGGTTGCTCAAAGCCTCATCCAACCCGGCCTTGAACACTTCCAGGGATGGGGCATCCACAACTTCTCTGGGCAACCTGTTCCAGTGTCTCACCATACTCACAGGAATAAATTTGCTCCTAATGTCTGGTCTAAATCCTCTCTCAGCTTAAAACCATTACCCTTATTCCATCACTATACTCCCTGATAAAGAGTGCCTCCCCATCTCTCCTGTACGTCCCCTTCAGGTACTGGAAGGCTGCTATAAGGTCCCCCCAGAGCCTTCTCTTCTCCAGGCTGAACAACTCCAACTCTCTCAGCCTGTCCTCATAGGGGTAGTGCTCCCTTATGGTCCCCCCTCATGGCCCTCCTCTGGACCCACTCCAACAGGTCTACGTCCTTCTTATGGTGGGGGGCCCCGCGGCCGGTGGAGCACACCCCGCGGGGGGAGAGCAGAGGGGGAGAATCACCTCCCTCGACTTGCTGGGCACACTTCTTTTGATGCAGCCCAGGACCAAATCCTATTATTATGTGTTTGAATTCTATTATTTGTATTTGACACCACCACATCTTCCAGAAATACACCATCTGGATTCTAAGACTGAAAGCGATGGAGAGTTCGCCATTTCCTTTGATATTCCTTTCATTAATTATTGATCAGTGTGTCTTTTCACACTTTTCTTACATACACTAATTTTTATTATGTCTCTTTCCACTACATTAAAGAGCCTATTTATATTCTCTCAAAGAAAGTATACAAGCTCAACAAAGCTTATAAAAAAAAAAAAAAAAAAAACTGGTCACTATCAATGTCTCCACTGTCAACAGCTGCTGCACAATTGCAATAACTGCATTATTGATTGCTGAGTGGCTATAACTAAGATAAGTGCTCAAGAAAGCCAGAAAGAAAATCATCAGCCTAAGTCACACTGACATTAGTTACTTTATGACTCAAAGTTTTAATTTATGACCCTTCTTTCTGAGATTCAGGCCTGGTTGCATCCTTGGTGAAATTACCTCATCAAAATTCAGAAGCAGCTTCATCAACTGTTAATGAGACCATAATCTCTTCTTTTAAGGGTATACTGAATTTACTCTGGCCATATATTGTCCTTTATTGTTATCCTTTATGGACCAGTTACGACAATTTGATGTTAATAATTGTATGATGTTGAAGTGTGTCAGTCTTACCATTAGATGATCATTTACAATCATTAATTCAATGTATTTTGTTTCCTCTTCAACTTTACGTGGAATCTGACGAACCTACAGAGAAAGTATAACTGTAAGAGAGTTTAACAGAGTACAGAGAGAGAGTAACTGGTACCTAGAAATTATTTCAGAAACCAAATTTCTCATGCATACATTTTTTTCTGTTATCTTAATTCTGGTCTCAGATATTGATGAAACTTCTGGTGCTTAGTTGCATCATTTTAAAACATTCTTTCACTTCCACCAGGACATTTATATGACCTTAAACAATGAAATCAAGTCTTCCAATCCATCTAATCCCAAGATGAGGTGTTTTTAAAGAAAAAGGATCCTCAGCAGGGCCTATATCTCTAAAAATGGCTTGTGTCAGCTATAAACATTTTTTTTCCACAGAGAAAGGGATCCCTCCTGCATTCTTTATTAAAAACTTCTGTAACAATTCTATTATTTATTCACACACTGCTCAATTCACACAGTGAACGCAGTACTCACCTCTGTTACGCTTACTTTGCATATAGAAATAATTATGACTGTGCTTCTTCATGGTGTCCTTCTTTTCCTGGGTTTTCCGGAAGAGCTATTACATTGTTGTGATTTAAAAATGTAGAGTAATGGCTAGTTTATAGAAAGGCGGCAAACCACCTGATAAAAAGTAAGGCCCTCAAGAATGACTTCTGTAATTTCTCCAATGTCTTTCTCACTTCTCTTTTGCCTCCGAGAGGCTTGCATTAGTCAGAGATGTTAAAGTCATCTTCCTCTCCCATTGCTCTCAGGATTTCATTTTTGCCTGCATTGTTCAGCCCCCCCGGATCAGGCTCTGTTTTGACCTGTACCATTACCTGAGCTCCATTCCTAAAATGCAAGGATTTGCTGCTATCTTCCCAGGGTACAGACAAACGTGTGCTTAGCGGCTCCCCAACTTCAATAAACAAGGAATTAACTCTCAGTTTAGAATATTTATTTTAAATCAAAGTCAAGTGAGATAAAGTAGCTACTTGTCACCATTGCAACATAAAAAATGCTTGTAAATGTTTCATTCATTGGGAGTTTCTGATAAAACTCTATACTCAAAATAAGAGAAAGTATTTTAGCTACTTTTTCATTTCAGCAGTGTTCAACAATTTTAAAACTCTTCAGGTAGGAGATGTCCAAGAGAACCCAACAATGTTTTGTCAACATTAGGCACCTCTTTTTGTAATAGCTGTATTGATACAGAGACCTCATGCCAAACCAGCAGCAGCAGCAGCAGGACTCCATCTGAACAAGTTAATTCAGCAGACACAAAACAAACTCGATGGCATATTACTTCTAAACAAGCACACTGGCACATACCTGCCTTTTACTTCTTTTGTGTCTTGGCTTTACAACAAGCTTCTGCGATGTAGTATTCATTTGCCAGAACTCTAAGCAGAAAACACAGGCAAATACATTGAATGTTTACAAGAATATAGCCCAACAATTATTGACCCTGATACTACACGACAATAGTGTGGCATCCTTCCACACATCAGATGCGGTAACAACTCCTTTTTTTCAAGTTTCCAGCTAGAAGGGAGGCAACATTACAGATGCTTCCCAGTAACAGGGTTCTTACTAAAAACTCTACTAGTGATCATCTGGATCTGCTGAAACAGATGATCTGTGGGTGTCATGCTTCAGAAAGCACAGCAGATGTTCTATGCCAAAACTTCACCAACTGGGCCTGTAATATTATTAGCACAGTGCTTCCATGGAGTTGAATCACATTTTCGGAATTCGGCAGATATTCAGAGAGCTCTCGCAATAGCTACCTAAATTAATAAGAAGAGCACGGAAGGCAGAATTAATGCTTTAAGGCGATTATATTCACAAAGCAAAATATGTTAGAGTTGGGAGAAACCTTATGAGATTTTGGCAATGCTCACTATCAATACAATATTCCTCCTTGCTAATCCCTTTAATTTCTTAAACCTCTAATCATAAGCACCAAGTAGTTTATTCTTTTGCCAAATCCCTTTCACCAAATCTATTACTAGCCAGTCATGGAAAGGGGTACATCAGAAACTAAGAAACTAAGCAGAGGACAATACTTGCTCTCTCCTTTTAAACGTTCAAGAAGTATTTTCTCATCTTTAATTTTAGATTCATAGTCCCTGGCTCACTTTTCTCTACACAACAGAAATTGCTGTCCTTATCTTGTATAAAGAAGTTTACTGTTCACATAACCCAAGAAGATCTTTTTTTTGAGACACGCAAATTAAATGTTTATTTTGTAATATGTCTTTTTCCTTTGTCCTCTCCTTTGTGCTTTCTCCAGCTTTGGACCTCCCTTCAGCTTCCAGCGATTGAAAACTGCTTTCAGTATTTCAGAGTGATTTTATCAATCCTGCAGAGTAGTAGACAGTACTATAGAAGAAGCTGTGTAAACTAAGGGACTTCCAGTCCACATACCTTTCTACACAACTTTTTGTTGTGTTATAAAATCCTGAACAGTTCAGTTTCACAGTCAAGACAGGAAAGTTTCTCACAGCTCCACCTCTCACCTGCTGTACATTAACTGTGCAATTTCTGCATGAGGTTTAAACAATAGCATTAAAAACAATAATGATTAGGAATTTGATAGGGCTGCCTTATCAGCAAAACCTTAAAACAAGAAGCTGAATTACTCATCTGACAAAACATTACTAGGTGTAAGTGCTAATCGTAAGGAGGAGTAGCTAGTTACTGATAAGACAAAACAGAAAAGTAAAATATGACCAACTGGTATTGTCTTGGCTAAATCTTGGGGATTATACTGTCATTTTGGTATGTGAAGTTTGCAAATACCTTTTTGTGGAGGGGCCTGGACAATCACAGGTCCTTTGCTTAAAAAAGTTTTCATGGTTATATTAGTGCACTTGAAGATTTTTCTTTACAAAAAAGACCTAAAATAAATTAAATCACGTCTAAGGGCCCCAATTTATTGCTTAAAGACCTGCAGTCTCTACAGCTCGCAATGATGAGAAACTAAATCTTGACTTGGTTTTAATATATTTGTTTTTTATTGCTTTACATATGTTGATTAATTTAGTCGGTGTTCTAGTACCATACAATTAGCTCTCAACCTGTCATTTTAGGGTTTATATCATCGGTAATAAAACTGCTAAAAATACATCTTTTCAATCAATGAAATAATAATTTACAATACGTATATAGGGCCTTAGATAATTTTACCAGCAAATGCAACCATTTTACCCATCATCGGAAGTCAGCCATCTCTAGAGGGGAATGATGCATGCATTAAGGTTAACACATTAACACACATTAACACTGCAATATAATTCACAAGCTGGATGAATTCACACTTTCCAGCCAGGCACCCTCAGGCAAAAGAACATGACCAGCAAAATCACAGGAAATGTAGACAGCTAAGAAAGCCTAGCAGAAATTTTGACGGGAACATATTACCTTGAAAAAGCATAATGAGGATGCAAGTGACCTCAAAAGAAAAGGACACCTGTTATGCATTATTTGAAAAACAACACCTTCAATAATGTAGTATCTCAATACAGATTACAAGAAAAAATACAGTCTACTAAATTATGAAGTCAAAAATTCTAAGCATGCCAAGTCACGCATCCAAGCTTTCTTTATTTAAAGTCCTCACTACCTCCTGGGGCCCTTGCAAAGTATAGTAAAATTTATTCTTTTCTGAATAGCTTTTTTTTTTTTTTTTAATACACAAGGAGCAAAAGAATGTAAAAAGTACATTGCAATCAAACTGTGGTATAATAGTTTGTGCTTTTACTATCATTGACATCGAGCAATCCCTATTACTTTTTTTTCCTTTCTAACATAAATATTGAAGCTTGTGATAACCTAGCACAGTGCTTGCTACCAATAATAATGACTCTGCTGTAGTACTTAAAAAAAAAAATCAATCACAATACTATCAGCAATTGGCTGCAAATACTGTCTAAAGAAAACAAAAAAAGAAAAGTCAAGACAACAGTTAGCACTCTCCAGACTGGCAGGGAAGAGGCAGTGCCAAGCAGAGACACTGCTGGGGCACCATGTGTGAGGTGTGAAGGAGAAGGTCAGGCAGGGCTGGGAGATGAATGAGAGAGCTCCTGTGGGCACAGGAGTGGGGAAGTGGTGTGGACGGCTTTCATCCTCTGGAGCTCTGGCTATGCAGGGAGGATGACTTAAAGAGAGATAAACTGAATAACCACAGACAAAGAAAAATTGTGGGATTCCTAATATAATCAATTACATCTACCAAAACTTTCACTACAAACCTCAGAAACACCTTTCCAAACACTTTTACAGAACCAAGTATTGGCATGTGGGAGATCAGATTGTAAATTAAAGTTTATTTCTCCATATATGGAATCCTAAACATAAAGTGATAGAAGATTAGCACCTTATACCTCTTATCCACATTACAAATATCTGTATAACTAAGACCACTAGCAATTAAATTATACAATTAAATATCCTTTTCAACCTTTTTTACAGTCTTGTGATTCTAACTCAGTTTAATAGCAACATCTTCCATTATGTCACATGCTGGGCTTTGTACAGCAAAGCCAGCAACTATTTACTTGTTATCTACAGTAAAATCAAAACTGTACAAGCATATCTGAATTTTTTTTTTGGGGGGGGGGGGAACATGAAGCCCTATTTTGATGGGTTTTTTGAAAATCAAGAAGCTTTGGTGAAGGTCAAACTGGTGGATTATACTTGCAATTAATTATTTGTCGTAATTTTAAAAGCAGAAAATAATTTTATTCCAAAATCTTGAAAACATAAAATTTCACTATTACAAAATCTTATAAGACAGCTGATACATATCCACTAAGTACCATCTCTAGCAGTCTCCTACTTTAACAACCTGAGACAGAAGATTTATTTTAAACCCAGCAGTGGTTCCATTATCTTTCAAAGGACATATCCTCAAGAAAGTGTGATGCACGTTATTATTTGACCTTATGCTCGATAAATTGTTCTCATTACACTACCATCTCCACAAGTACAGGGAGTAACCACTGTACGCATCTAAGGTGCATTTACACAGGAAGCTTCGTGACACAGATGTCTATGTCCTGCGCTGCATGAGCCTTTTGTGCTGCTCCTAATGCCTCTTTCACCTCACCTGGGTAATGACCAGCAGAGGACGTGAGGCACCAAGCTGGGATACTGTTTTGTTTAGATTCCTTCTTCAGAACTGAAATCACAGTGACCCAATTGTAGCAATTTCCTTTGTTTTTTTCTCATTATCTCTCTGAATGATTCTACTTTGCATAAGTAGCAAACCTGTGCACACAGTGCTCCAGGGAAGGACCCATCTGTGTGCTGTGCCCAGCAGCATAAGATCCCAGATTCAGCCGTTACCATAGGACAAACAGTTTGTAACAAGATGACTGGACATCTGTAACTCTCCTGAAGAAATTAGCCTAGATGTGGTTTCTACCAAAACGACAGTGTCTGTGAAGGACAGTTTTATTTATCTAGGACGTATTTTGTAGAGTAGGGAAACACATCTGTAAAACCTGCAAATCTTTGACAGAATGGGGATATGCCATAAATACTACAATTTTAGCTTCAATTAGCAAGCCAACTTCTCAGATTAAAACTCATTTTTTTAAAAACCTCTTGCCCCTCTACACACAATCTAAACTGTTTGTGGGGATGAATCACTACAAGCACTTGAAACTACTTCTGCCTCCAAATTCGTTTGTGCTCTAATGTATGACCCGCACTACAGCCAGTATGGTAAAGATGCTGAACAGCCTAGAGATGAGAGTCACCGAACAGCAATGATATTTGGCAAGTTCTTATCTCCCAGACTTATGCTCACACCATGGTACTCACCCTGTATCTTACAAGAGGAAAAATCCATGAAGAGTTATCAACCACTGGCAATGTGGGGTTTATTTTCATCATCTTTAGGCTACCTCAGTCCTTTCCTTTCTACAACTACTAGCAGATAATGCAGTCCACAGACCACATAACTTGTTAAGAGAAACATACATTGCAACATGTAGGTCTAGAAGAGGTTTGATTCATTGGATTGAGGGTTTTTTCAGCCCTTCACATTCTTTTCCAGTGCTTTCAATGTTTCAGATTCCTTTTTTTCAGTGCTTTTTTATTTAATCAGGAAAAAGAAAAGACATACAACTAAACAATATACTATTAGAAGATTACCTGTCAAACACAATTAAGAAATTTGGCCTTAGACTAAAACAAGTCAATAAGTCATAAATATTAAAAATCATACCAGATGGCAGGTCATCCGAAGGAAACTCAAACAACTTGGATTTGTAAACAGAGTGGAAATTGAAGTCATCCTGAAATAGTAAACAACCGCATGTATTAAACCTGGATAAACTAAACCATCTCATGAGCATTAGACAGTTCCAAAGGTCCTTGTTATCCAACACCTATACTAGTAAACGAACAAGTTGTAAGGCACCATTACTCTACACTCTTCTCCTTTTTCCCAACTGAGATGTGATCGCTAATGCCACAGTTAATCATCTTTTGTTTGAAATATCTAAGTACATCAAATGGAGTGGCTGAGCACACTTAGAGTTAGACTTAAGAGAGTTGTCCACGGAACATCAGTGGAAGTCACGTGAGCCACTGAACTGCAGTCCAGGCCGAACCAGGAGGTGAGGGATATAATGAATCCAGAGCGAGAAGTGACAGAGAAGGGGAGAGGGCACTCACAGGCTTCTCCTGCTGGCTCCAAGGGATGCTCATCACCCTCTGGTACTGCAGCGCTCTACATCCAACTGTTATGGAGTACACACATATACGTATACAACTGCCTAATTTTTGGAGGTATACTTTTGTCTGTGATGATGGGGACTCACATATGAGGTAAAGGAGTTGAAAATTAGGGTACGATCTTTTGGTCCCAGAGCCTTACACCTACCCTGTACCCATGAAAGTCTGTATTCAACAAACAAGACAGCAGGACTACTTACATCTGAAGTGTAGTTTTCATCTGGCTCAATAAGGTAAGTATGATTTCCATCATAGAACATACCACTGTCAAGAGCAGGAAATGTAAATAGTGATTTAATGAACAAATACTAGTGCAAAATGGAAGTAAGTTTAAGGAGTTCATATATTTTTAAAATTAAATATTTAGAAAAAGAAGCAGTTAAAAATTGTTTCAGAAACTGAACATAATTCTGAGTCATTTTTTTGTTTCTTTGCTTCAGAAAGAAAGATATTCTCTCCTGCAGTGATACAGATTCTTCTTTCTCCCCCAAAGTTCCTCTACAACACATAAACACCACAAAAAATGGCTAATTTAGCTAGCTGAAAAGCCAGTTCAGAGCCCTCACTCCCATTCAAGAGAGATCTACTTGCAACAGATTAATAAGGGGCCTGTTTTTAGGAACATGCGGATTTGGAACATGCACACAGCTTTCTCTCAAATAAAAGTATTATTAAATTGAATTGATCCTTAGTTCTTAATGGTTTCGATTAACTCTTTCCTCAGTAATCTCATATAGTACCAAGTACAAATGGCATAACAGGCTCTTTTAGGCATAGAGGGCCATTTTGGGCACTTCAGCAATAATAATTATGACAGATTGTCTTTTCAAATACAGTTAGTTTAAGTTTATATTTCTAAGAAACATTAATGGCTATATGCTTTATCATATCAATATGGATATCATATGATGCTCATGATAAGGAGATAGGAAACCCTATCACACAGGCTTCCAATGGGTGGCGGTAAAAAGAGATAGAGAGGAACACGCCTTCTACCTTACCCATGGTTCTGGCAAAGTACTCACGGTCTCTTTCTTAATGGCATAAAATTTTCTCAACCACAGAAATCTGAAGGTCATTCATGATATGCACACTGCTATGTATCTCAGAAAATCTGCCACTTTGCTTGCCCACACACAATCACCAATTTTCCATATTAAATTACAACACACAGTTCAACTCTAAATGAAGAACACACTGCAGTGTTAAGGGTCTCTAAATGGATGAAGATAGTCCGTGACAGTTACACCAGATGAGTTTGTATTACCACTCAAATGTCCACCAAAGGCGGGGTTCCTTTCTGCAAGGATGTTTTCTAGTAAGTGTTACCTTAAGTTTACTAAGGTAAAGAGTGTACTAAGGTTTAGGCTTTAGCATAATCCAGGATGCACAAGTGTGACTGAATTGTACCTTAAAAGAAAGTGTTGAAACAGACATTACTCTGTAAGAGCATAAAACCAAAGGGCATGTCTTGTATCACTGCCATTCTCACCTTCAACAAAATCAGCATTTTTTTTTAAAATAATTTTGCCTTTATTGCAGTGACATACAAGCAAGGTTGGGATTAGGGTGTACCAGCATGTCCTTCACAAAGTGCCACTACTATGGGCTTCAAGCTTGGCCATAAACATGACCTGTAAGTTCAAAATTGGCACATAGTACACAACAGTGGCATGAAATCAAGATTATTTATTTACATTACTCTTCAGCAAACTTTTAGGCATTAAAAAAAAATACCACCAGAATTATATACAACAAAACCAGATATTTTTCTTTTTTGTTATGCAGCTTTTTTTTTTTTTTTAATCAGCAAAATTTATTTTGGTTCTGCACAGGACCAGATGCAGTAAGTAAAATACTGTCATTCTGTTCCTGACTATTAAAAAACATAAACATACATTAAGCTTGTAAGACATTACAACTATTGATGCTTCTCTTAATATCATTCACCTACAGGGTTAACCATGCAGCATTCACAGAAGTAGCTTGGGTTACTGACTGTATAATATACATCAAGTGTGATCATGAGTAGATCTACAATTTAAAGCTGTTTCACCTTTCAAATTACTTGTGCCTATTCTTTAGAAATAAATACCGTCTAGACAGCTTAAGATAAATATTCTAGCACCTGCTGAAGCTTCTTTTCTGGGAATAAGATGAGATTTGGGAACATCCTGCAGCTCTTAATCAGGCAATACTTCCTTCCCTCTAATTGCAATTTTACTTGAGCACAGTCTGCAAGACAAGGAGCTATCAGCAAATGGCTTCTCGTGCAACTGTTACACTCAGCAGCACTGACCTCTGATCAAGTCACTCAACAGTGACAAGAATAATAGTCACAGCTGACCTACAGATGTGACTTGCCCACTCAAAGTATTCATGGCTCTCTTCTGACTGACTTCAATAGTCCAGTGCTCTGTGAACAAATCACACACTCATGGATGTGTTAGAGAGAAAGCAATAGCAAAGCATGGGCCATTTCAAAACCTGAATTTTGATTATGTATAGTCTTCAAACAAACAAATTTGTAATCGTGAAAGTCTCAATTGCAGTAAAAACAGAAGTTTTTGTATTCACCACCAGTGGGCAGCAAAACCATAGACCAACCGGGTGTCTGTGTGACTTGCCTTGAAACACAGGACTGCGTCGTGCCTGACTATAGCGTATTTATATCCCAGCAACTGGTGTGTTTTGCATTCAAAGTTTTTTGTGCTAACTCATAGGAAACTGTGGTTACTGCATATCCCACAGAAAAAAAAAAAAAATCCAAACAAAATGTCTCATTGAGAGTTAATGTTGGACAGATACATTTTTCATTAGCAAAGTCATTAAGAAGAGAAAAAATTAATTATTCTAAGTATCCTATCAGTCAGTCATCCAATTAATTTAACTAATAAAAGGAAGACCAAAACACAGACATTACCAACAGAAGAACTTATTATTAAAAAAACACAACATTTTCACACATGTATGAAAAATTTTGCTGTTACTGGTCAAGATCTAGGGGTACTAATAAGTAAGAGAGGAGACTAGCAGGAACTTTGGGAATATGAAGCTTGTTATTCTATTAAAGACATCTGTTCTGCCTCCCACACTTCCTAAAACTCATGAAAGCAAAGCTCCTGCCCTGCAGACCTTATTAAAAAATAGCTTTCCCCAGCTCCCCTTATTCCAGCGAACTGCTCTGAACTCTGGTTGGAGCTAAGGAGCTCTGATTGCCACTGTGAGTTTCTAGTAATTAGTTAGGATTTAAAATCGACTGTGGCGGAGCTAGCTGTAATGATGGAAATACAGTGTCAGAGAATGGGAGTTTAATACAGCTCAGGAAAACATTACTTTCTCATACTAGATGCTGGAACTACTGCCCTGCTATAGTAAGCTTCATATTGCATCTTGTGTGAAGGATAACTCTGCTGAAACGTCATTGTATCAGGAAAAGGGAAAAAAAAAAAAAAAGATACCTCTCAAGGGAGAGCTGAATTATATAGGGGAAAAATGCATCTTTCATCTTTCAACATATAACTGTGTATAGAAGGGACTTATTTGAGTATCAGGCAATTTGAGAATACAGAGCAGCAGTAGGGTCAGTCTTAAGAACGAACTCACAAAAGGAGGGCAGGAAGGACATATGCAGGGTCTCCTTCCTTTCTGCTTTTTCTCCTAGGAGTCAGCAGGGGCCAAGACCTAATGGATCACTGCTAATGGAAGCCATGCAGTACTCAGGATGCATTAGGATGCTACTATTTTTAGGCTCACTGTTCATACCGAATCTGGGCTCAGGTTTCTTGAGCTGCTCAACCTTGATCATAAAAGAGATAAACACAGCTGTAAATCAGACAAGGGCAAGGATGACAGGACTTCTGCATGCATTCTCCCCCTTCCTAACAAAGAATATACAAATACAAAAGAAAGACACTACTTAAATACATGTACTTATGTGTCCCATAACTACAGAATAGTTGGAGACAGACAATAAGCTGAAGATTTCCACCAGCTAAGCCCTGCTTCCTCAGAAAAAGGCAAAGCTCAGGTAATCTCCACACAGGCTCACTTGCTGCCATCACTTTTCACGCTGATCTCAGTATTGAAAGCGCTGAGGTCCCGTAATTCCCAGATTCAACAGACACTGAAGTTACTTGGTTGCTCTGAAAACCTGCTTATCATCTTTCAATAGTGCCAAAAGTAGACAGTTTCAAAAGCTGTACAATCAACACACAGCTCCATGTAACCTTCAGATGACAGACACTTTAATTATATTATCAGTAAAACTATGTACATCAAACAAAATTATTATTGCACAATTTTATATCCTTTCTTCCATATTTTCCAAGATTTGACTAAATCAAGGAGGTCCTGGACTTACTCTGGCACAAAAAGAAAATATACAGGGAGTGGAAGCAAGAACGGGTTACCTGGGAGGTATACAAAGAGGCTGTCTGAGCAGCCAGGGATCAGGTCAGGAAAGCTAAAGCCCAGATAGAATTAAATCAAGCCAGGGACATAAAGGGGAATAAGAAGAACATCTACAAGTACATCAGTGATAAAAGGAAGACTAGGGAAGATGTGGGCCCTCTCCGGAAGGAAACGAGACCTGGCCACAGGCGATATGGAGAAGGCTGAGGTGCTCAGTGACTTCTTCGCCGCACCGCCCAAGATGCAGAAAGGGAAGGTAAGAACTGGGCGAAGGAAGATCCGCCCACCGTAAGTGAAGATCATGTTCGAGACCATCTAAAGAACCTGAAGGTGCACAAGTCCATGGGACTTGATAAGATCCATCCACAGGTCCTGAGGGAACTGGTGGATGAAGCTGCCAAGCCGTTAACCATCATATTTGAAAGGTCATGGCAGTCTGGTGAAGTTCCCACTGACTGGAAAAGGGGAAACATAATCCCCATCTTCAAGAAGGGGAAAAAAGAAGACCCGGAGAACTACAGGCCAGTCAGTATCACCTCTGTACCTGGCATGATCATGGAGCAAATCCTCCTGAAGGCTCTACTAAGGCACAGAAAAAATGAATGAGAGGTGATTGGTAACCAGCATGGCTTTACCATTGGCAAATAGTGTCTGACAACCTGGTGGCCTTTACTCCTATATACTAATATACATAACATACTATATACATAATATTCCTATTGATTGGTAACCAGCATGGCTTCACCAAGGGCAAATCATGCCTGACAAACCTGGTGGCCTTTTATGATGGAGTTACAATATCAATGGACAAAGAAAGAGAAACTGATGTAATCTAGCTGGACTTCTGCAAAGAGTTTGACACTGTCCCACATAACATCATGGTGGCCAAATTGGAAAAATATGGATTTGATGAATGGACCACCTGCTGGATAAGGAATTGGCTGGGTGGTCGCACTCAGAGAGCTGCGGTCAATGGCTCAATGTCCAAGTGGAGACCGGTGACGAGTAGGTTCTTCAGGGATCAGTACTGGGACCAGTACTATTCAACATCTTTGTCAGCATCATGGACAACGGGATTGAGTGCACCCTCAGCAAGTTTGCTGATGACACCAAGCTGTGTGGTGCAGTCGACACGCCAGAGGAAAAGGATGCCATCCAGAGGAACCTGGACAGGCTTGAGAGGTAGGCCCATGCCAACCTCACGAAGTTCAACAAGGCCAAGTGCAGGGTCCTGCACATGGGTCGAGGCAATCCCAAGCACAAGTACAGGCTGGGTGGAGAATGGCTTGAGTGCAACCCTGAGGAGAAGGGTTTGAGGGTGTCAGTAGAACAAAAACTGAACATGAGCTGGCAGTGTGCAATCGCGGCCCAGAAGGCCAGCCGGATCCTGGGCTGCATCAAGAGAAGTGTGGTCAGGAGGTCGAGGGAGGTGGTTGTTCACCTCTGCTCTGCTCTTGTGAGACCCCACCTGGAGTACTGCATCCAGGTCTGGGTCCCCCAACGCAAGAAGGATGTCGAGCTGTTGGAGCAGGTCCAGAAGAGGGCCATGAAGATGATCAGAGGGCTGGAACATCTCCCCGATGAGGACAGACTGAGAGAGTTGCGGTTGTTCAGCCTGGAGAAGAGAAGGCTCCGGAAGGACCTTATAGCAGCCTTCCAATACCTGAAGGGGGCCTACAGGAGAAACTGGGACTTTTTACAAGAGCATGCAGCAACAGGATGAGGGATAATGGATTTAAACTGGAAGAGGACAGATTTAGACTAGATATTAGGAAGAAATTCTATACTGTGAGGGTGGCGAGGCACTGGAACAGGTTGCCCAGAGAAGCTGTGGATGTCCCATCCCTGGAGGTGTTCAAGGCCAGGCTGGATGAGGCGTTGAGCCAACTCGTGTAGTGGGAGGTGTCCCTGCCCATAGCAGGGAGGTAGGAAATAGAAGATCTTTGAGGTCCCTTCCAAACCAAACCATTCTATGATTCTATGATTATCCCATGCACACAGCTTAAGGCCAGCAATTCCACTAAGAAAATGGATACGACAAGAGAAAATCTAAACTGACACTTTCCTTTGCAAGAGACTATAAAAGCAAGATAAAATACGTCAAGAAACAATAGCAACAAGAAAAGAACACAATTTCCAAACGGTTCACATCAATATTGGCAGTGTTTTTTATACTTGTAGAATAGGGTGTTTTCAGCTACTTTTCTATCTCTACAATAAATTACCTTAAAACAATACCTGGCCACTGTCATATATCCTCAGTTTGAAAAAAAAAGAACACGAACTTGTATGCTTTGTCAAGGAATTCTGAAAACAAACAAGCAAAGCTTTTGCAAGGTTCAAATTAAAACATCTTTTTCTAATGATTTTAGAGTACTTAACATTGGTGACGAACTAGTAGGAAAACAAATAGCACTTATTTTACTATAAACAGCTCTATTTTGCTGAAAAGACTAATAAGCAAAGACCAGTAAAAAGAAAACAGCAGACTTACTGTAATCCATGGCATGTTGACAAGGCAACAAATGATACAGGATTTCCTCGAATTTGTCCCTGATAATAGCAATGTTCTCCTCCCTGAAATTGGAAATATAGACTGTAAATCAACAGGATGTCCCACAGTATCACACTCCATCATGTCAAACACTGCTTTTTCACAACTACATTGCCAGCCCACTGACATGGCACCAAGAATTGACTACCACTCACAAGGGTGTTTGTCCTATCTCCTTTTAGCCACGGTTTGGTACCTAGACAAACATCATCATATTGGCTCTCTCTACACCAAATGGAGATGGATATTTTCAGTGTGAAAACCTTGTCATCCTGAGACAGATTTCAGACACAAATTTCTCCAGAAGTGCTCATCTTTCTTCACTGATAAGGAAAAGAGTTGGAAATAGTGGGCTCAGACTCAACAATTGGTCTGCACATGGCTACATTGGACAAGATGAACTCTGCTCTGACAGTCTGGCAATTTCCTGTTTCGGAGGAGAAAGGCAGGCTAACCAGATAATAATAATACTTGATTTAAAAAGATAATGTATCAGAAGTGCTCGTTAGTGCTCCAAAACTAATGGAAACTTTAAGTATAACAAAGCAGTAAAGGAATACACACAAAATTAATATTTTCTTCTTCTCTTCTGCAAATAAAATATACACCTTTCAAATAAAATCTAGCAGACCTTACTCAAAAAATCCCCCCCTTAGTTTCACAGAACTCGCACTGATAGCAAAGTAAGCCCTACTGCACACACTAAATGTATTCAGTATTGCACAATGTCAATATTTGTAGGCAAAATTAGAAAACCAATTCAAACATCCCTTAAATTCTCACTGCCACTCTACCCTGCAAAAGAACTTACCTACTAGTGCCTTGCCAAATTCAGCTATGTCATATCATCGCACTATCATTACTTAAAGAACTATTAAGATTTTCATTGTAGGTTTTTTTTGTTCGGTTGGTTTTGGTTTTTTACATAGAAACATTTTACTATTCCCTACCAGCAAACGTATAAATAATCTACCTAGCCTAATGTACCCAGCCATGCAAATATTTATGTCCCTTTACTTCAGGGAGGGAAGGGCATTACAACTACTGCTTTTTCAGAAGCCGGCAGTCACTTGCATGATGCACAGCACAGTCATTTTAGATATCTGACATGAAATACTCTTGGATTTTATGTTTCATATATGGAAAAAATAGTGACCAACATCAACCAAAAGGCAAGAAAACACAGAATATGTCAGTAGTTTTGTGTTTTGATCAGGAAATCGTGTTCTGTTTTCTACAAGGCGTGGAAACTATTTTTGAAAGCAACTATGAAGTATGGGTGTCTCTGTTTTTAAGAAGGTGCTCTCCTTAAGAGTATAGGAGCCTGTTTGTCACGGCCGGGCTGTGGAAAGAGATCTGATCTCAACCTGGCCACTGGAAATCATTAGTTCCTTCTCAAAATCTTCTATGGAGCATTCATACATGCTGTGCTGCTGCTGGACCCCAAAGCACCCAGTGAAGTGCACCTGCAGGCAGCTCACAGGTGCCATGACCAGCAACAGCAGTGCTACAGAGAAATGCAACACCTGATTCAACAGACTACAAGTCTGACCCTATTTGGCAGGCTTGTTTCTTCACTCTGTGAGGGGAATCCCTGTGGCATATCTTCCATTAAAAGTGCTACTTTTATTTTTCCCCAATTTCATTCAATCTGGTTATCTCCTCTCTTCTACCTAGCACTTCTCCCTTCCACTTGCTGCAGTTTGAGCAGCCACCTCCAACTGCGTATCCACCTCAGCCTCTTTTTCGCTGTGTATCTGGCACAGATACAGAACACCTCCACCTAACTGACCTGCAGAGTGACCATCGTTGTCACCCACCACAAGCACCTCTCTACTAAGATGTGTGCAGGAAAACGCTACTGGTGCCATGCAGGTCATGTTTGACAGGCCGTGATGATGTTTACTTGGCTCACGTCCGTCAGAAGCCCAGAGGCTGACCCTCTGCACCAGGCTACAGCAGGGCATCTGGCAGGAGATGTACACCCCATCGCCCTTGGACCAGCATTTCTTGGGACCATCAAGCGTTTGGGATCCGATGGAGTACAAGTGAAAAGAAGATGGTTTGTTTCTGCTTTGCACTCAAATGCATTTTAGCCACCAACATCGTAAGTTACATCGGATTTTAGACAGACCTACATCTTACTTTATTTTTCCTGAAACCTTGGCTCATTTTCTCTATTTTATTCTGCTTTTTTACACCTACTTGCTTCCTATATCTTAGTTACTCTAATCTCTCTTCATTTGAGATTTTATTTTTTTCATTCTGTAGGATGTTCCCCAATACAGGTTCACAGTACTGCTGAAGGCTTTCAGGTCTTTCCAGAATATATGAATAAAAAGTAAACAAAGAGACACTCTAGTGAGCTAATAACAAAACTATCAATCAAACTATATGGATCAGCTAAAACCTTATGAGTAATAAATATTCTCTAAACAGAACTCTTGCAGTAGTATTCCTGTAAAAGATACAACTGGAGTAAGTACATGAATACGGGAATAATATTGAAAAGACTTATCAGTAGGGAGTTGTACAGAGTTCTAGCTGTGGACGGATTTTGGAGTAATTAGGCAAACTGATTCATTCTCGGAAAATGTAGTTAATATGTACCAGAAGTAGAATCTCAGGCTCTCTTGGTTTGCAAAACCGTATCTTTGTAACCAGAAGGAACACTTTTTCATACAAGAATCCAAGTTTATGGCTCAAAAGTATGTTTTGATCTTCTTAATCAGAATGAAACAAACGTCCCATTATAGTACCTTCAAACTAATTTATTCCATAATAAATCCATGAACAAATTTTTATGCATACAGATCTAGAAAATAAAAATACAAGAAAACCAGCTCTAAATTCTTGCCTCTGGAAAACACAGGTTCGACACACAGATTCTATTCTGTTAAAATCAAATCAACCCATTGATCTACTGAAGTTCATGGTAAGTGAAGTGCAGACAGAAATGTAACTCTGATCTCAGTCTTGGGGACCAATTCTTACCACTACAAAACACTTATTTCTACATGCGAACACCTGGGGGATATTTTTTACACATGGACTTCTGTTTCTATCAACATAATTTAAGTCACCTCAAACCAGTTGATAAAATTTAAGGGGTTTAAACAAAAACAGCTTTTTTCAAGTACTTGATGCACTAGTGGTGTGCTCTTTCTTTTTAAAGAGAACCCTTCAGTGTAAGAAATCCTGCTGTCAGGATACTCATAAATGAAATTCTGAGGATTGGTATAATCTCAGCAAGGAAACGATGCAGTGCAACAGATGGCACTAGCACTGGAATGGCTCTGGGAAGAGTGACTGCTCAGCACTCCTTAACAGTGTCTCAAACAGACTAAAACATGCCAGTAACACATGGCACATAGTGGGGAGGGTGAAAACTGGATATTGTACTTTGGGGAGACTCATTTTCAACAGCTCACAAAACCTGTGAAGAGGGAAGCACTTAAAGCTACAAAGTCTGGGACTGGTTCTGTACTGAGAGTCAGGACAACTGAGAGGACTCTACAGGTGCACATTTTCTTTAGAGCACATGTAATTTTGGACAAAAAGTTTACTGACTTTGACTCCCTGCAGTGCAGAGGCTGAAATCTTGGGGGTTTTGACAGGTACTAAAGCTCCTTTATAGCAGTTGCTGTAATAAAATACACTGTATTACAGGAAGAATCACAGTATATGGGAGACCTAAGACCACCAAAAGACTAAACGTAATCATCACATCCATTTGCTTTTACTCTGCTCTCAGAAACACACACTGAAGACTGGGATTGTCTCTCTTCTTTGTTGGTATCTGTAGCAGTGTGACAGGAGCTGAAAAAAATGTTTCCATTTAATTTATTTCCTAAGAATATTCTGGTCCCATATGAGAATTAAGACTTCAGCCAAGAGCTGAAATTATCAGCATTACCAACAACAGTTCAGTCCTGAGCATCAAGGGGTTTTTGTGAAGAAAGAGCTATTGGCTTCCTGTAGCTATTACAGCCCCTCTCTGCTCTCTCACAAGCAGGCAATAATTGCCCAGCTCAGCAAATCAAACCTCCAGATCAGCCTTTGTCAGCTCCTGGGGAACATTTTAATGTTCAGATGAAGAGGAAGTAACACTGTTCTTCTAACATATGCCAGGCATCAGTGCGAGCAGCACATTCACCCCTTTCTGCTCTACAACTGAACCTGGCCAGCATACAGGCTGGGAGAATATTGGGCTAAATATAAACTCTTATGAGATAATGTCAACCTGGTGACAATGCCTGTGACACAGGCCTGCAACACAGACACACGCATACACTCACGCCGTATCCAAAGGCAGTCTACTGCTACAGCAGAGAGAAGTTTAACATTTTTGCCTCCAGAAGGTACACAGCCACTCTTCATGCTGTGGTTAGCATGATGCAAGGCAAATCTTCCGCCAATACCCATGACATGCAGTTGTCCATTTCCTCGGTTCAGTAAGCTCTCCTTCCATCATGAAACCTCTCAGCCTTACCAGTGACTTACAAGAGCAATACAAAACGTACAGATGTTTAATAAGAAGTCTATCGATTTGGGTAGCTGAAAATTTAATAACATCCTACAAAAAAAAAATGTAGAATGACCCCAGGATCAATTACAACAAATGAATCACTGTGACAGTGGTCAGTTTATGACTTAATCTTGGTGCTTAAGTTGGATAATTATAGCAAAATCCTGAATTAGGGATATCTTGCCCTGTGAACTGCTACAGCTCCTCACCAACCAGCATGCAGCCCTTTTTGCCCATGTCAGTCCAAGTTTCCTTGCAGCCTGTCCTCATAGGTAGTGTGGCAAAGATACTAAAAAATGAGAAGGCAGAGATATTAACAATGCAAGTAAAATCTGTCCCCATTGCTATCCTTTAAGATAGTTTGTCTCTGCCCACAGAGGCACCAGCTGCTGAGTAAACACGAAAGGCAAGAAAAACACATTAACGGATATTCCACAATGAAGAGGTTAAATAAGTAAAGAACAGCCAGGACAGACAGTGATGCTGCCATTTCGC